AAAAAAAAAAAAAAAAACAATCCTTATATCAAATTACATCAAAGTTGAATTATGATAATGACTCTAATTATAAAAAATGAGCTAAAAATTTTCACTAATATTGATTAATTAGATTAGTTATATGTTCCATTAAATGAAGAAAAATTAAGAAAAGATGAATTTTAAGATTATTCATTGCTAAAACTTGAAATATCTGTATCTGATAAACTATTTGTGTTGAATAAATTAGCACTGATGAGTGATTTACAGAAATTAATAAATTAATATGACATGAAAAACCAAGTTAATGATAATGCAATAAATTGATATGAAATTAAAATGTTACATCACTAAGTTAAATTTGAGAGAAAAATAGTAGCATAAAAAATTAAAACAGCTTCATAAAAGGGCTTCCGTTTTCTTTTGTTATGAAGAAAAAAAAAGGCCTTTCGATTGGTTGGCAATAAAATGTTGTCATTTTACAGAAAGCAAATTAATGGAATTTCATTTATCGTCATTCATTTCGGATATTAAACGAATGAAACGAAGGCATGCAATAGCATTTTATTACATGCCTAAAAATGTTGCACAAAAACTAAAAAAATTAATAAAATAATTACCAATTGATTAACAAATGATATAGTTCACAATATCAAAAAAATTCTTCCTTACTGTTATTGTCAAAATTCTTCCTTACGTTATGTTATTGTCATCAGTGCTGTCGAGAAATGTCTCGATTGCATTAATGAAGTAAATTGTAATGTTAAACTTAGAATTGGATCATGAAGTTAGTGGAATATATTGTGTCCTCATGGGAAATGAATGAGGAATTGAACTAGCAATAGTAATTTTTGAATTCATTTTGAGTTAGAAATATGGATGAAAAAGTATCAGTTACTTGAAAGATAAGAATTTTTTATTTTCAAAAATTTTTTCACATTATACTCCCATTGATCGTCACAGTATTACGTGTGATTTAACTTTTTGTAAAGAAATTTGTGGTAGCAGTAAAATAAGTAAGTGGCAGAAAGAAGTGTATTATTTCGCAATAATATGGCAAATACAATTACTCCCTTGTCACATCATGTGAAATAAATTATGATTATGTTTTAAATCAATCAAATCATTGGTGTGCAAAACAATATGGAAATTTCGATGAGCTATTTAATTATTATCTTATTTAAAGGTATTTTAGAATGAAATAACTGATCGGTTATCCTAGCATGGATCTATACGAATATCTATGGAGATATTTTATAATCCAAATCATAAGTAATATTTGGAGAATTAAAACTCTGATAAGGAAGTATCGGAGTTCTAGATGTATTCAATGTTAAGTTATCGTCTAAGATTTTATCAAGTTTTTGCAAAAGTTACGATTTTGATAATGTCCACAAGGCTAAAGGAGAATATCACGAGAAAAATGCAGGCACACAGAAAAATTCCAAACTAACTGAAAAATTGTGCGTCAAATTCATTCATGACATTGATGTCAGAAGAATTAGTCAACAACTTTATAAAAAAAAAAACGAAGAAAAAAAATATAAGTGAATAGTACCAGTAATAAGGCTAAATTCATTACAACATAATAATTCCTGCAATGGCAGTAAGGAGCGTCTGTAATAAATGATAAATGAATGTGGAAAATAGACTCAAAAAACTATGACAGTTCCAGGTTTTTGAATTAGAATTTTAATTTTTTTGGTAATAAGAGGACAGAATATGAAAGACAATTCGAATACTTCAAATTGAACCATAATTTGTTTGGAGTAAAAGATCATAGAAACGTTCACATCTTAGGCTTATTAAATCCCTGGAACAACTCTTAATGCATTTATCATCGATTGAAATACTGAATATTTTTTTGAACTTCGATTATGAGACAAATGAATTGCTATTTAAAATCATCCAACAAGATGCTTTTGTCTACATCAAAGTGTAGCATAGCCAAGATTCCAGAACAAAAACAGAAAGTGATTAACAGAATTTTTAGAAATAAAATTTAGCTGAAACCTGGTTACTTGATCAAAATTATAAAATATTAGGAGAGACACAGTCAACAATTTCAAAGTATAGATCGCGAACGATTACTTTTACATATTACAACCAATAACCAAACTTGAACAAATAGCGACGAAAGCAAATTGCAACATAACTCCAAGTCAAGATCAATAGGAAATATCATACATTTTTTAGGAAAGCAATCAAAAGATTTTAAGTTTTCTGAACAAAGTCAATCAAAACCATGAAAAAAATCTGATTTTTATTTAAAAAAGCAAAACCAGAAGCTAATCCAGATCCACTCCTAATATCAAATATTCACATATATTCAAAGCAAACTTCACAAGTGATTAACAATAAATCGAACAAGGATTGCATTTTTCGGAGCGGATGGAATGTTATAGACATTTTTTGTAACGAGGAAAAATTGCACATATAAAGCAAGAAAAATAATTGAAATTTGACTCACCTTTTTTCTTGAAAAAAAAATTCAAAACATTAAAAAAAGAGTGCACTAACCACAGTTAGAAAGACATAATTCATATACAGGAATAAAAAGCTGAAGAGGCACAAATTATGGAAAAAAATGTCGAATTAATTCATATTAAGATAAATTCAGTGGAGGAAAATTATAGGTTGTTCAAAGAGATCAAAAAAGAAGCATAGAGATATTCGCTCATTGCTCACATTATTTCCTGATCTTATTAGACAACTACACCATGTTTGTGGCGAAAATACTCAGCACATAATGCTTCTGCACATGAAGGTCTTGTTTCGGGCAAGAAAGCTAACATATTCTGAAATTATTATTACTTTTTACATATAAATTACTTTTTTACATAAATTTATTATCAGAGTAAGAATGATATCAAATGAATAAAAAATTTTTTGAAAATATATAAAAAGAATATGTAATTTTAATTTAATGAAAACTGATTGTTAGACATGAAATTAGATAGTTAAGATCACCACAATTTTTTTAAAAAAAAGTAGCGAATAGAAAAACTACAGCAATCAACGCCTCTGATCTAATTCCTTTATTTGTTCAGAAACCTCTCTAAGCAATTCTTGTGAAACTCAGCAAGATCTAATCGCGTAAAGTCATATAAAACAACATACTTTTACTAGTTTTGCAGCATCTGGTGGAAGTTTCGGTGCAATGCGACGCATTGGTTGACCAGGATACGATGGATAGAATGAACGTTCAATCACTGCATTTTGAGGCCATTCACTGGAAGATGGAGTTCCAAGTTTTCTGCAAATTACAATTCATGTCGTTAAATATAAATAACAATTTTGTTTAAGCAATAAATCATTATAAAAACATGCAGATTCCCTTAGTTAAATTTTACATTTAGAAAGGAAATGAAGCTTGAAAAATCACGCAGAACACAGTCTCAGTTTTAAGCTTAATTTGATTTTCAGAGTTATAAAAGTCAATTGTGAGAGGAAAAACAAAAATTCTGAGAACTTACTGGAATATAATACTCAATTGTTGTGCTTCACTATGTGCTGGAAAAAGTGGTTGACGCGAATACAATTCTGCAATGATGCAGCCGGCAGCCCAGATATCTACACCACAGTTATAGGAGCACTGGAGTAGTACTTCCGGACTTCGGTACCACAAGGTCACAACCTAAAATTCAGACTTCGTTGAAACAGGAAGTGAGAATAATTTAAAAATAACAAACAAAAAGATTACCAGTGTTGTGAAAGATGACTGCATTGAATAATAGCGAGCTAAACCGAAATCAGCAATTTTGATTGTTTGATCACGATTGATCAGTATGTTTTGAGGTTTCAGGTCTCGATGTATAACATGATTTGAATGCAAAAAATCCAATCCCATCAAAATCTTAAACTTCAGACAATTGAAAATAAGACTTTATAGCTGTCGATCAGTTGATAATCGTAACAGAATACGATCTGTAGTAAAATTTTTGACCGTGAAAAAGAAAACAGTGAGTAGGATATGACCTATAGCAAAATAATGAAATCAACCAAGATGGGAGAGACATCCTCATCCATATCCCAATTACTGTATCAAAATTATTGGACTATAATCAATAAATTCGTTTAGAGAATTTTCTATAACAAAATAAGGAATAAACACACACTTGCCACATCAAAAAAAATAAATAAATAATAAAATAAAGATTCGACAAAGTCCTTCCAGGAAGTTTCTCAAAATTAAAAGTATTTGCCAAATTTACTAAAATGTCTGTAATAATTTCATTTATTTTATTCAAGCCATCTTTCTTTTTAAACCGTCATTTGTTTTGTTAATTATTTAAATTGTTCCAATATGTAAAGGAAAATACTTCTGTCTTGTATTCTAATTAGAAACAGAAACATACCTGCTTTGCAATATGACGACATTGATGATCACCCATGTCACGAGGAATTGTGCGCAGAAATTCGTATAAATCCCAGTCACACTTTTCATAAACAACACTCAAACACATTTCACCCTTATCAATTTGACCATGAAACACATCGTGCAATCTACAATAGTACACAAATTTTATTCAAAAATTTTCATATTGATACGATATGCTGTTTTCCACCCAGAGCTTTTTTAGTTCACATGCGAAACACAGACAATGAAAAACTTTTGAAATTAAATAAATTTTGATATTAATAACAATGAAATGGAATGGATTTTCGTTCCATGAAACTACCAACACCTGTTCATTTCAAAGATAGATAGAAAAGTGCAAAGAAACAAACTTCACAATGTTTGGATGATCCAAACTATGTAGCGCTCGCAATGCCGAGATTTCACGTATAATGCTTTGTGGTATACCATCTTCTGTTATGCGTACAATCATCTTTTTTAGAGCATACTATAATACATTGTGTAAATAGTGCATGCTAAACATTTAATGAAAAGTTTTTGTTCAAAGCAGGCAGAATTTATATATTCTATGAGGTTTGATTGAAGAGTAAAACTTACAGTAACAGCAAAACACATCTAATTTGCTACAGAAAAATCTAAATAAGATGAAGGAAGATTTCTATGAATAAGTGCTACAAATGCGCAGTACAGCTACGCTGGAGATTTTTAGGATAGTACTATGCTATATAGCAAAATAGAAAACAAATGATTAGGATAATCATCAATAATAATTAGTTTAAAATGATATCAGCAAATGCCAAGCAAATAACAAATACTTGCCTGTATATTACTCGGTATATGAGTAACTAAATAAACGACACCATAAGCACCCTTTCCGATTACGCGATGTTCCTCATATTCATGAACATTTTCAGGGCTATCCGTACATCGATCACATCTTGAGCAACTTTCCTCCATCATATAATAACTACAAATAAAACTTAAAAATGGAGAAAGAAAAAACATAATGCTAATATGATACAATATGAATACGATAATCAATGCGAATGAGGCATGCACTTACTATCTGCATAGTAATGTTACATTTAATATAAATATATTTAGTACATTAAGTATGTACATCTAATACGTAATACTATATGTAATCATTAATTTGAAATGCCGACCGCTGCCTATTCAACACCTCATCCAGAAAGAATATCAAGATTAGAATCAATATACTTTTAAAGCATTACTGCTATCCGGAATTATACTTCGAGCACTTCTTCTGCTTCCCTTCAATAAGAAACAATGGATCAGCTTTTGAATCTTTTATTAACACACTATCTTGCTATTTTGCTATCTTTTAACTATAAAAATAGATCCTATAAAATATCCTATAAAAATGCTATCTTTAACTATAAAAATAACTATAAAAGTGCTACCCTTTAACTATAACTACAAAAATATAACAATCATTTAACTTCAACTATAAAAATATATCAATTATCAATCATACACGCATCGTTCTCCCATCACTTCAACTATTCCACGAAAACGATCACCTAACCGCCATAGAACAACTTTGAAGATTAGTTTAGCCCACTCAATTTGAAAATCGAATTCACGAATGCAACTAACACATTAGCGAATAGCGCGATATGCAATTACTCTGTTCCTCTTAATTATCTTTTCATTTTTCATTCATCATGATGTTTATTGCTAGCTGATGTTAGGATTTCATCAAATTCATCGCATATTTTCTCTTTCAATGTTTTCAGTTGATTAATTTGGTTAGCATGATGTGTATATTTTTCAGGTATAACTCACCTAAGCACGTACACACACACACACACACACACACACATACATGCATAACTGATGAGTGCTTGTGTAAGGAGTGAATATTGCTCGGAGTAATTGCTGTTGATGACAGATGGATGAATCGGATACAATAGACAATGGCTTTCGTGCGGTAATCATACAACAACTTGAGCGTCGAAATGTTGTTTGTAGACAGTTCGATTCCTTGTTCACCTCTTGTAAGCATTATGCTTCATTTCTTTTTTTTTCTATTGTTATTATTACGCTGAATGTAACGTTGCACTTATGTAAATTATCTGTGATATTACTTGACTGTATTCTGAACATGCCATCTATAATGATAATTTGAAATTAACATTGTTGTTTGGAGGATAATTATTCTTGTAGATCTCTTAAATGTATTCCAATTTTACAATAGTTAACAAAAACATTTCATTGTAGATTGTGAACTAACAGAATATGTAACGAATATGGCGCGTACTGGACGGATACGTGCCGTTTCGAATAGTTCATTGTAAGTTTGACTATTTCTTTATTATCGTGGTAACTCGGATAAATCAGTGATCCACGTCACGTAAAAAGCATTTGCCTTTGACCAGATAAAAAGGACTGTGTCTGATAAGTCAATTTAATTGTGATGGGAAGCATTTTATTTGTTTGTGTGGAAAATCTTTGTCAAAACTATTCACGGCAATATTTGAGAGCTGGAAATTCGGATCGCATAGTGGAACTGGAAGCTGAGCTTGCAGATCTTTATCGTAAAAAGGAGCAAAATGATCAACAATTGATTGAAACAAACAATCGTTTGAGTATTGTCACGCGAGAGCTAAGTGCAGTTAATATTGTGTGAGTTTAGTTCATGTTAATTTTTAATGTTTAAATTCGAATGTAGTAGGCGAATCAAGCAATTTTAATTGAAATATTATTAAAAGTTATTCTCAGGGTCGATTGTTATCTTACGAATTTGCTGTACTCTTTTATAGATACTTTTTTTTCGCAGAGTTCGATTGATACGTTGAGGGACTTATTTTCTAAAGTTGGATAATTTGGCAGTTGTGTGCCGAATTATCCAACTTTAGAAAATAAGTCCCTCAACCGTATCACTCGAACTCTGCTCAAAAAAGTATCTATAAAAGAGTACAACAAATGCGCGGGATAACAATCTCTGTCTAAAAGAAGCTATGAATTATGAGATGTTACAATAATTTTCATCGAAACAAATATTTAGAAAGGAAGAGTGCCAAAAGGAGAATCAGAAGTTGAAGAAAAAACTGAAAGAAAAAGAAGAGGAATTAGCTGCGCTGGAAGAGACAAACACTTTATTAAAAGACGAGCATTTTGCTTTGCAGGCACGTGTTTTAATAATTTTATTGATATGTAAGAATTTTAAGCTAGATTTTTATGATGCTAGAACTTACAGCGTTGTAGACTTTTAATAATTTTGAGTTATTTAATAATACATTCATTTGCTTGTATACAGACATATTTTCTAAATTTGTTAAAATAACGATTCTCTAGCATGCACAGTTATTTAAATTTGTTTAACTTTTCTTCTAAATTTTAATAGTGTGATTAATTAATGTAATTAACTGACAATAATTGACAGGCAAGTTATGACAGCATTGAAAACAAATATCGAGAAGCACAAGAGGAAAGAAATAATTTGGTTGAACGAATAAAAGATCTTAAAGAGAAGGAAGTCCAATGGTTTAATGAACAAAATGAACGAGAGCAAGAGTAAACACTTATTCATTTGAATTTTTTTCTTACGTGTTTATTTTGATTTTGAATTTCGATCCAAAAAGAATAGTCTTGCCCTATTCTCCAACTTTGCAATGAAATCATTCCATTAAATCTTTAGGGTCGCGGAGTTTCTTTTCAAAATGAAGTTATCCTTAGGTGGAAAAGAATTATGGCTTGTGAGGACTGAGAAATTTAACTTCTTTATTTAGAAGATAAGATTGTTTAACATAGCTTTATTGGCTGTTTGGTAGATCCAACATACTATACACTTGGTATCTTGATCTCGATTTTAGTGAAAATGTAGGTACATACTAAACATGGGCCTGCGTTCATCGGATATAAACTTGATAATAAAAGATACTACGTAGAGATTTGTAATAATGGACGAAACGCATTCCGCTTCTACTCAAAATTCGATACTAACTCTTAAGAAAAGTTGCAAGGATAATTTGTAGAAATAAGATAAAGAAGAAATTATTTAATTTGTAAAATTCTGCTGTACCACCGTTTGATATCAAAATTTGAAGATGAAGTTTAATCAAAAATTATGTTCGTACTTGACTTATTTGTATGATTCTTTTAATATATTCATCCCTCAAATTGGGTGTTTTCCGTATGCGTAATTCGACCTAACTGTCTTTGTGAGATATATTTACTTCTGTGTTTCTGATTCTCAGTTGCGATTACCTCTCTTGGCTCATCGACGAAATGCCTTAGTCTGTTTACTGCGAACTGTTTTTTTTTAAAGAAACTTCAAAGTATATGAGAATGCACTTCAAAAAAAAATGAAAATATGTCCTTTTTTATCTCAAATAACCTCGATCAGTTTTTTTAAATCTAACCATTGCAAAATGTAGTTGTTTTAAATTCCGTTGTTTAGAGAACGTCGTCGTCGTTTAGCAGTGGATATTGAGTCTGCACTAAACATGTCACACAACAACGAGGACAAAACGTACGGGTCAGTTAACGGGTAGAAATAATCGTTGCATGGAATATTATTTATATCTTTTTTATATGTTTATGTGTGCAGCTAATATGTTGCTTTCTCTTTATGTTTATCCTTTGAACTCGAAAATTTATCTGAGTAATAAATTTCTTACAAAGAGTAAAGCAACACTGTGATGTAGCATCAAATGATGTAAAAATTCCTGGAAATTCTAGTGCTGAATACAATAAGGGTGTTTGAATAGACTGGTATTTATATTATTTTCATGTTTTCCAATAGACATTTGCTCTGCAGTCAATGGTAATTTGCAGGTTTGAAATTATCAACAGTACAAATCAGGTCGTTGATTGTAGAGGTGATATTATTCCTGGCCAGTGTAAAGCAAAACTGGTAAGTTAACTTTTTTATAATTTCGTAAATTTTATCTATAAATTCATATTTATCGTACCATAAATTTTATTATGCCATAGATTCCATAAATTATTGCTAGCTTATCTATTCAGTTCGATCCAGAAATTTAGTGAGTGGTAGTTCCAACTCTATTCCGGAAAAAAATCAAACTTTTTAGTTGTGCAATAAATAATTGCTAAACTTTTTCTTTTTCTCAAGGATTATGGCGATGATGTTAACGATATTCTTTGGCATCCCAGCGGTACAATGTTTGCGGGAGGTGGTGGCGATCACAAACTTCGTTTATATAAAATAGTAGATGACAAATTTGAAAAAATGTAAGAAAAGATTTCTACTCTGTGCATATATCTTGTTGGTTTTTTTGCAGCAGATTTCAGTTTTTGGAACTTTTTAATCTGTACTATTATTAGTAAATTCTTTGCAAGAACTTGGCAGTAAATTCTTTGAAAGAGCTTAAAGACAAAAAAATTTATACAAATTAATTTTGTTTCTCATTCAGTGTTTCTTTGGCTGGTTCAAATGAATCAATACTACGGATAGACTTCGCATCCCAAACTAGCCAAGTTCTTGGAGCTGGCAATGATAATGCTGTTCGTATTTGGGGAACGGATAATCATGTGGTTAAGGTTTGTAATTTTACAGTGTTTTCTCTGAGTACAATTTTGATTCTCTTTACTTTATTTTTCGTTGGTTAGTTTGTTTCGAATTTTATAAAGTAGATGAGACTTGTAGATTACAAATAATTTTCAAGTGTATTTGTTACTACCAATGATTTTTTATCAACCCTGTCACTTATCGCTTTTTTTTCAGCACTCGTTAACAGGACATGGAAATAAGGTATCATCCGCTAAATTCTTTCAAGATGACTTACAGGTTGTTTCTGGATCTTATGATAGGACTTTTAAGCTATGGGACTTGAAAACTGCCAAGTGTACGTTTATACTTCTATTTTCTGTATTTCTATTTTTTTTTCTGCATGTGTTACAATTATTTCTTTAACAGTGCAAAAAATGGAAAAACTGGAAGGTTAGGGAGAAGTGAGATAAGAACAAAATGAAAAAAGACTTTAATGTATTGGAAATTTCGATGAGTGAGAACTGTAGATATGGTCATGCAGAGAGATTCCAGATATTAACCAAACAAAAGAAAACGTGAGGTATTTATGAAATTAAACTTAGGGACACACTTTTCAGGTTTGAGAACATATTTTACTAATTCAGTGGTATATGACATAATTTCGAGTGATAAAACTAGAATGGTAGCTAGTAGTCATTATGATCGTAAAGTGCGATTCTGGGATACAAGACTCAATGAACCGGTTCGTACAGTCGAACTCGCCAATAAAGTCACGTCACTCGTTCTGTCTCCTGGTAAATTAATACTTTGTTTTGTGCTGATTGTGAGAAATTCATGCCCAAAAAGTTGTTACGTTTCACTCTTGAAAGTTATTTTAATTTATATTCTAGTCTTTGCTAATCTTTTTAAAGTAGTGAAAATTGTTCTCTCGCGCTGTTAATAATAAGCTTTTATCGATTTTCATGAACAACAGGCTACATTAAACATTTGCAATATTTGAATTGCAAATTGTTGTGATGCCACTTTTATAATTTTTGAAATAGGAAGTAAAAATGTTATAACCTCTATACTGCCATTTGTTTCTATGACAAATTACATTAAGACTCTTCCGTTGTACTTGCATCAGCACGAGATGAAACGATGTCATTGATCGATCTACGTTCCTATCAAATTATTCATATATATAGGTATTTTTCTTGAGCACTTTTTATACCATCGAGGAATGTTTCCGATTACTTGTATCAGTGTAGATCAACTTACTTCTTTTCATCATAGAAAATGTGTTGGAAGAGGAGGAGAAATAATTTGATATTTACATCATTCGTTTCACTTTCGTTTCTTACTTTTAAAATTCCTTTTTTCTTATTTTAATTTGTTTCTTCGTCATAGTTTTTCCTTTAGATGCAGAAAATGAGAAATCACAAGTACAGAAAGTCTTTATAACCTTACTATCAATCATCAAAATTTATTGTAGTGCTGATCAATATCGAACGGGAAGTGATCACATTCGTTGTGCAATAAGCCCTGGAATGGAATATATCGCATCTGGGTCTACTGATGGAGCCATTTTTATTTGGAATTTAAAAACAACCAAGCTTGAAAAAACCCTTCAAAAGGGTGGACATGAGTAAGTACTTTTTTTCGGAATTCTTTTATTCATAAAAATTGTAATTAATGTAGAATATCGCTAGATTTTTTTTTAAATAAAAACACTGAATTTTCATTTTTTTGCATTGCATTAGCTCTTTTTACTTAATACTTATAAAAGATAGAGAAATGAGGAAAGAGTGATGATAACTCGTAAAAATTTCCGGATTTTTTTTTATAACCATTGAATATGACATTTTCGCCTCTCATTGCTATATGCAGCAAAATATATTATTAATTTTGGAGTAAAAAAATTTTTTTTTGAAGGAAAAAATCGTTAATTTTCGATGGTTATTACAATTCTTATATATCATTATTTTGCATGTTTAAAGTAAGAACTACAAATTTTGTCCCAATAAAACACAAATTACTTTTTTTTTTGTTAATGCGCACTAAATATAAACTAAATAAAACCATTTTCATCGTTTACCATAATGTGATGCTGATACCTTACTTTCTGACTAAGAAATTTGATTCACTTTCATTGTATGTAAAAACAATAGTTCGATCAGAGATTGCAATTTTCTGTTTTTTCAGACGAGCTGTACATTCAGTTTCGTGGCATCCCAAGGGAAATATGTTGCTTAGTGCAGGAAAGGAAAAAACTGTTTGCTTATGGACTGTTTGATTTTGAAAATTCATTCTCAATTCAATATTTCGATGCTTTGTATATATATATATACTTTTGTTTATTTTTATTATATAATCCATTATATTAGAAAAAATACTTGCCAATTCTTTTTTCTAGTGTGACCTGTGCAAAGTCGGGCCATACTGTTCCCATTTCTCGAAGACTTACGCTGATCTGAAATAAGTTAGCCATAACAAAAAAATTCCTCATCACTTAGTATGATTTTTATCAGCGGTACTATAATCATTTTGTGAAGACCTGAATATGACTTGAACTTCTACTCTTTCAGTCTTATGTTGTAGGGCGCCGAAAATTTTATTTTGCCAAGCAGTGCGTAAGGTAATTCATTAGTGAAGTCAACCTATGATTACCTATTTTAAGTATGCAATGTTCCTTGCGGTGTACAAATGAAACATCCCATACTTTTGATTGTTAAATATGGGAATTCTCTATGATTACTTCATAATTTATAATAATTAATTCGTCCTTATTTTTATTGAGAAATTTCCATATTGCTGCTGCTTAGCTATATTTTGCATGTCTTTGATTGTTATACATAAATTTAGTAATAATAAGTAGTGGAATTTACCTCGTTCATGTTTTCAATTTCATGAAAAGAGAATTTCTTCAACAAACTACAAATTATTATTTTAATTTCCAGCATTGCAAAACGCATCCCAATACATTGACGTGGTCCAGTACCAAAGGCCATCCAGTTCCTCTTTTGAATTGTGGTACAGTTTAGGAACCTAAAATCTTTTAAGTGTTTATTGAAATTTGAATTGCTTTATTTTGCTGCTTCATTCCCTTTTTACCTTCGTCATTCCCAATCTTCTTCCTCATCCTTTTCATAGCAGCGGATTTTCTTACATCACATCGAAGTTTATGATAGAAAAGTTTAGAGAGAGGTTGAATTCAAAATATCTCAGTTTTTTTTTTTTTTAAATTCGTATTTTTTTTCCAAATGAAAATTACAAGTCATATATAAATTTGGAACCTGTCAGGCTTAAATTCCCTGACGTCGCTTCCCCATATCTCTTCATCATAATGTAAACTCCAGGTGTCAAAAATGACGCCAACATCTTTCTTAAACGTATATGGTCCTATCTTACATTGCTGAACACAAGCGCGAGATTGTAATCTGCAAATAAAAACGAAGTATTCTTTACTCATTACACATTAAAATTTAAAAGAATTTAAAGCAATCATTTATCCTTAAATTCATTAACATTAAAGAGTATGAGGTCTTAGATTTGCTCTTGAATGATACTTAACTTCAATTAAAATTCAAATTTTAGCTTACAGTTTAGTGGAAAATTGATGGTTAAGCGCTCACAGGGAAGCATGTGGAAAGAGTCGAAGAGCTTCCATAATTGCGCAATGAAGATAATTCAGATGCTGTATACTATCGAATGTAATTTCATCCAACATTGCAATTTCCTGGTATAACTTTTCCTGTTTTTTCCTGTTTTTAGCTAATAGATATATTAAATAGACTACAGTATTAGCTGTTGTATCAAATCCTGCCGATGTTAGAAAGCGACACTGATTTATAATTTCCTGCAAATTTATCTGACAAAATCAGACAAATACTTCTACATAAATTTAATACAATGATAGATATGCATTTCTTCACAATATAAGCTTTATTTAGTAAGGAATGTAATTTTTAAAAGCAACACAGCTAGGCATGTTATGTTATTTCAATTATTAGAAATTGGAATTTTTTAAGTACACATATTGATATGAATTGCATTTGAGATACCCTGGTATTGTATGCTTATTATAAATTCGAAGCAAAATGAACTTACTCCAGGCGTCAATTTCTGGATAATTTGCATACTTGATAAATGACACGGTCGATCAGCATCCACTTCCCATTTATCCCATTTTTTATCTTCGACACATTTCATAAAATATAGAAAACTGGAACGATCCTAAACTAAACCTAACAAAGAGTTGCATAAATTTATTCAGAATTCAAATTTTCACTTTTTTTTCTTGCAATTTGAAAACAATCAATTTCATCTTTGTTGTTTAACAGTCGAGCATTAAAGGTAAGATAAGATATAACAATATAAATTTTAAATGTTGAATATAATTTATCAAAATAAATTATAAGATAAATTAACCTGATTAATGATATTCATTGAAATAACTTTGCGAAGATAATTTGTATAGGTAACTAATGGATCAATATCAAGATGAAAAGCTGCACGAAAACATAAGCACAGTTTGGCGTATATTAACAATATCCATTTTAAATCTGGTAGACACCCTTAGAAGATATTTTTTATAGATGTATTTATTGATTGTATCAAAAGATGTAACAATTGTGAAATATCTTTTCAAAAAGAAAAGAAACATTGATTCTTTGATTTCTTAGAAATTTTATTAAACTGAATTAACTAATTAAATTTTTCTTACATGTAAATAAGAAAGAAAGATGGAAACTTTGCAATGGACTAAATTTTTTTAGCAAAAGTTTAAGATTTGCATCATCGTGTTGACAGCTATATGGACGGCCCATGCAACATCGTGATATAATATCGAAAGTAAGCTTCTGGAAACGGCTGAAATTAATCTGTGAAAATAACAAAAATTATGTTCAAATTTTTCCAAGTAAATATTAGCAAAGAAAATGATTAAAGAAATACTATAACATAATTTAAAAAGTGAAAACCGATTTATTTTTCTTTCTTTTTTTTCACTTCAATTTCTAGAGAAAACAACAGAGAATACATACGGATGAAGATCCAACACCTTGGAATATGTAATTTCATTTTCCAGATCCATTATAAAATGATTTACAGAATCATGCATGATATAAAATAGCTGCAAAAAAAAAAAAATAATAAAATTCATTATATTGCAATTTATTGGTTCAAAGAATAATTGCTATTAAAAAATTAAAAAACCTTTCGAAGATTCTCATTTGAAATAGCTTTTGATGTTAAGCTTCGAATTCGTTTCCATCGTTCACCTCGTGCAGCAAATTCATGAACCTCATAACTGATATCTGGATGAGGACCATTTGGATCCATCTAATATTTAACATTAATTTTAGCAACAAGATATTAATTAGCTAGATACATTTAAAAAAAAAAAAAAGGAACATGTTTATTTCAATTTAAGAATTTTAGTGAAAAGTTCGATTTGAAATTTATATTTTTTTTTTCCTAATGAAGTATGAAAATTTCGCAGAGAAATGATATAACTTACGGTACGTGAATGAAATAAATGGAATTGTTTAATGCATATTTGATAAATAATTTTCGGATCCGATGTAACGATTATTGGATGGGAACCTTGCATTAGACCATAAGTACGGCCATATTTCCTGGTCAATTTGCAAAGTTGCCAATGAGTGGAATATGATTTCATAATATTTAAATTTCCAAATAACCAATGCTCACTTGGAACAACAGGAAAACCACAATCACGAATGATATCCCATGCTTTTCGATATCTGAAGTGATATTTCAATCTTTCTTTTTTGCTCCATTTTATTGCTTCATATTTTATTTAACTTCAAAAATATTTTCTTGATTCTTCTCAGTAGGCTAAATTTATTTCCTTCATTGCAGTAAATTTCAATGAAAAATCAACTTTCGAGCTTTTGCATCTAATTATTAAACAAATCTTGTTTACAAAATTAATGTACAGGTCAATTACATAACAAAGTTGACATATTTTTTATCACGAATAATGAATTGAAATTCGTTTTCCTTCTTTTCTTAAATAGGCATCTGTGCTATTTGTAGCACAGAAAAAAGAAGCTTACATTTTTAATTTCAATATTTTGGCTAAACAAAACTAACGTTCTTTGTGAGAAACTATCTCATTAATTCCATTTATTTTTCTCGATCACTTTACACCCTCTTCATATGGTTGAATGGAAAATAAACAAATAAATAATCGCCGCCATTGTTATTATCATTAAAAAACTTGTTAAGTGATAATTCCAAAAAAAAAGAGGGCTCAGTTAAGGTTGTCATTCATTTTGGACTTCATTTTTATCAGTTATCTCACTCAATCACTAATTCAGGAATATATCTAATTTCAGTTATGTTAAACTTTAACAGTATCTAATTTTGGCATAAACTATTTCAAATCTTGACCTATTTCATTTCAACGCGAGTCATGCCGAATTTTGACATGCTGATTTGTTAATGAGAAACTGGAGAATGTTCTAAATCATAACGAAAGAAAAATTGGAATTTTAATTGAAAACAGACCAAAAAACAGTTCGACTTTTTTCTTACTTTCGTAAATTTACCTTCGAATCACTTTGATTAGATAGAAGATGGCAAAAAATAATCCAACAATATAACATAATTCCATTTGTATTGCGAGAAGTCAAACCAACAATAATAGTCAAGAAGGTATTGATAAATTTCACGAAAAGGAAGAAAAAAAATTTGTCAATCGAGTGATACAAGACTGATTACAGGGGAGGCACTTCTTTGATTCAGTGATATGTATCAGAGTGTCTCTCTCTCGTCATTTTGTATACCTTTCTAGCACTTTTACCGACTTTTTTCCATTGCTTTCAAATACCAAATCATTTTTCTTCTCATCTATTTTTATTGTCGTAATTGCTAGTTGGAATCCGAGAATACATGCAAACAAGTTACTTTAAATTAATTTGTTTCTAAATATAATTCAAAGAAATTTCAGACAACTTTCCGCAAAAATCTTCCGGTATATTTTAACATCATCAATTTTCAGCCGAACATCATCAATACTGTCAGTTTTGAAATGTTAATTCTTCGTTACCATTCAAAGAAGTTATGCAAATATTCGTTTTTTATTCTTCCCAAGCAAAAGATTTCGCCACCGCGAACTAATCGTCATCAATTCCGAAAATATCAATTGATTTTAATAGCTTAAACCACTCGAATTGATAAAATTTAACTCCATTGATTTAATGTAAAAAAATATTATATTGAATTCTTCAATTTTTAAAATGAGAAAACCAACAAATGTCAAAAATCGGACATGATAATCAATTCATTTTTTTCAACGCATTTTCTAGAAATCTTTCTAATTGCAATTATGTAATAATAAAAATAAAAAAGAAACGATTTTTTCAGAGATACTATCTCTATGCTTTACAGAGCTATTTTGTAAGCCTCATAATAACAAAATCGTAAGAATGCGATTGATTACTTCATTTGTATTTCTTCATATTATTATTAACATTATTTAAATAAATGTTTTAAACATTTTATCAGAATGGAGCAAACAAATTTATATTTACAAATCACAAAACAAAAGAGATATTTGCTTCAATAACAATTGGAAAATTTCACTGTTTCTATTTCAAGAAAGAAAAACACCACCACATCTAAACACTATCACAGTAGAATGAACCATAAATGTACTACATCAAAGAACAAAATTAAAAAAAAATGAAAACCGCTAGAAAACATTTATTTTTTCTTTCATCCTCAATCTTTAATTCAAAAAACTCAAGAATGCAAAAAAAACTACAGTGCACTAATATTGGGTTCAGAAAAACAATAATTTGTATAAAAACGCTGAACCTACCAATAATGCACTTTCCATGATTAAAAAAATAAGATATCGGCGACTACGAACTCGTTCTTCTTTATATTTCTCCCGTAAAATACTGTTTTTCTCCTGCTCTTCCAGAAATTTTCGAGAAATTAGTTGAAACTGAAAAATTTTTCAAAGCTGCAGAATAATGAACTTATATAAATACAGGCATTTTGTGCAACGCTTAATGATCACGCATGATTCTAAAAGGAGTCAATGGCCAAACAGTCAAAGCATTTTATTTAATCCATTCAATGATTTAATTAACGGCGATTATTTCGCCTATAAAAAAATTATGAAAATGAAAAAATAAAAATTAAAAAAAAAAATACCGAAATCCTTAAATTAGAATCCACAGAGCTTTCCTTTTCATTCTGAGTAATTTCGCATATTGAGTGCAGTAGAGCGTCAGCTAAGTAATTTTTAGTGAAATGAGCTTCAGAGGAAGTTACTTGACGACACATAGGACATTCAAAAATCTATAAAAAACTGACTCAAATCATAATGAGCAGTAGCAACTGAGGTCAGTTTAATTAAAAATTAAAAAACAATAGGCCAAAAAGAAATGGATTTACAAATGAAAAAATATGCTTCCAGTACAAGCGTTTCATGTGCACTTGTACTACTTTTTTAACAACTTATTATTTAAATATTATTAATTGAAGCTGATGATTCAATCCTATTTTTATTATTAAATAAAAATGAGATGTGGAAACGAAACTGCGCTGTGCTCGGAATATGAATTCTCGACAAGCTTCTTGACACAATTCTGACAAAATGAATGACCACAGTTGAGGATAAATGGTGCGGAAGTAAATATACAAAAACAAACTGGACAATGCAATGCTGACGAATCTACTATAACGCGTTCCGCACCGTCAATCTTTGCCGCTCTCTAAAAACCCATAATTTTTACAGCATAGATTTCAAAGATTTCGCCAAAAATTGATGTACGCCACAAGCCGTATAATTTTCATCAATCACTCTTAAAATATAAAATTTAATTTGAAATCAAATAATACAATGATATTGAGGAAACGCACATGATATACTCTATTTATCTTCCATCACACTCAAATTATATTCCAAATTCTGATAAATGAGACATCCCGTAAATGTTTTACAATAATGTGCATCATTCTAAATAATTTCTTACTCAGAAAACGGGAATTTTTTTACTCAGAGAACGGAAACAACTTACGCGACATGCCGAATAATCTTGGTCTAGCTGAGCGACAGCCGAACGTAAATAAGTGAAAAATCGCTTCATTCACCTTCTCTTACAAAAACTCAACTGCAAAATATAATAAGCTACAGAAAGACTAATAAAATCTCAATTACACATGCCTAAATATAAAATGTCGCTGAATGACGAAGAGTACAAACAAAAACCTAAAAATATTTTATTTCATTCTTTAGCAACGAAACAAAAAATACACGTAATAAGTGAGTAAAAATATAATGAAGATCTCGAAAGGAATTTTCTAAAATTCCATAAATTATAAAAATAAAACTTGGTAATTTTATTAGTTTGAATTCAAAATCTTAAGAAAATGAGGTAAAGCAAGGCCAAGAACAGAATAGAACATGTACAAAATTTTAGTGATACAATATTCAAATACACAAAATACAGAAAAAGGAAATATTTTAGCTGCAACTTGCAACATTATTTGCAACGCCGAGCTGAACAATTCAACTTTTTAAATGGCAGAGTAAAGGGTGCCAGCTGCAACTCCGATGATTCATAACAAGTGTCTAACATTTGGAAAGAAAAAGTGAATGAACTCCTTAATATAACTCTTTAACAACGAAAACTCAATCACCTACATAATCAGAATTTTCGAATAAATGAAAAATTATCGACACGACTCGTGTAATGCATTTTTTGGACATCGAAGATCGAACATCAGTGGTGGCAAATAGTCTTTCATTATCTTTCTGAAAGACATAAATTCTTAAGTTGGATTAACTGAGAATGGAGGAATACTTCCTGAAATATTTTCATGTCCTAATAACTCATACTTTATATGAAACAGTATGAGTGTCTGAAAGAATCTTTTCAAATGCATTAACAATTTGCATTTCATAACATATTTTGCATCCACTTTTGTAGAAATAGTTATATTTCTACAAAAGTGGATGCAAAATTTATGCAAAAGAACGTTATGAAAAGTTATATATTTATGTAAAAGAAAAGTTATATATGTAAAAGAACGAAAATAAGCTTACTTGCAAACACGACATTTTATATCGAATACTCCAGAAAATTTTGCAAATAAATTTAAGACGTATGAAAGCGTGTGTGCATTTCGAATATCAATACAAGGCATTATTGTCTGCATCAAATGTATGTTTGCTTGAACACTCATCTTCCGATATACTAAATATCGGCTTTCCTTATGAATGTCAACCTAAAAGTAGGGATACTTGAAAATTTCTCACTAAATCAGAAAAACTTTATGGATCGGCCAAAATTCAACTTCAATTTGCAATACATAATATTTGTAAAAAGCAGCCTCACTTTTTTTGCTTCTTAAGAAATAGACAACTTTCTGGGAATCAACAAGAATTTAACTCTACTGAAAAGTAAAAATAAATATGATAGAAAATAGCAGACCTGACCAGAACCAACATCCAAATAAGACCATTCTTCATGAGGAGCAATCATTTGTACGAATTCCGGCACACCACTATTGACAACCATAAGCATTTTGAGCAAACAGACATACTGTTTATCTATTACTTGTCCAAATTTGAACTATAAAAAAATAAAATGATCCACAGCTTGACTTCAGAAGTCTAACAGTTCTCTCATTCTACTCATATTACTTATTTTTAGCTGAACAAAAAATTTGAAAAAATTTTTTAATAATATGAATTCTGCAAAAATGAAATAAATCCATCATTTCAATAAAATGGAACTCATAAATATGAGTATAACATATTATGAATAATTGATGTTTTGTAATAATACATATGCAACGTTAACTCCAACATAATGACATAATACGGTAGCGATACTTACTTCAACAAGAGCTGATAGTGTACTTTTCTCCAGATATCGTCCAACAAGTCCAATTTTCTTAATATTTGGATCCTTTAGTACAACTGTTAGTGTTTGTTCGAAAATACTTTGCGGCGATGAATTTAATCCATAATTTGAATATGATATTGGTCGGTCCGTCATTATTGATCGTCTTCGATTACCCACAACAGTGCGTAGAAATTCCGCATACATTTGCAATAACTGCTGAAATATATAAATTTTAAAACGTAGAAAAAAAATCTATGTAAGAATAACAAGAATATGAGAAATATAGAAAAGAAAACATTGTTTGTTTCCATCCATGTAGATGCTTCCAGCGCTTTATCGTATAATTCACTAGTATGTGGATCGATCTGTCCATCATGCAGAAATCGACTTAGACGCTCCATCTGTACCGTCATGGGTGTCGAGACTGGCAGTTGTTTCGCGTGCGATTCCAAGTTACTACAAGAATATCACTGTCGGTAAAATATTTCACTCACTTTGAAGAATGAATATCATATTAGAAATATACAAATCTACTGATAGGGATTTCTAGACTGTTATAAGATAATGGCAATCAACCAACCTGTCAAAGATCATTACACTACAAACAAGAAAGTAAATTAAATAAGATTATATTTAAATCATACAACCAAATTGGGTGTTTCAACCGAGATATAAAACTTTATTTACAGGATATTTATCAGCTGGGTAACAGTAACTAGAGTTGAAACTTTATTTCTAAAGAACAGAATCGTTTTTCATTAATTGCACATCATGATCTCAAGAACTACGTTTCTGACTAAAATATATCATGAGCTGACCGAGAAATGTCCCATTATAGTGATTCAAAACTCGCGTAATGAAGTGATCTGTCCTCATATAGAGATATGTGTATGTAGAGCGGTCAGAGTTCTTGTCTCGACAGCATACATCGATTTAAAAATTCAATTTGATGAATAGCTTCAAAAATAGCGTAATAAACTTACTCGTAAATCTGATTAATAAAATCGAGCCTCTCTTCTAGCGTCTTTTCACCGTCCGCTGGATCACTTTCCCAACTACCTTCCATTATTCGGCAATGTACAGATACAACTTCATTTCGAAGTAAGCGCAAAGCATTTAGACCTGAATATCTGTGTTGTAGAATTGAACAGTTTATCTAAATTGTCCTTCAATTCTTGTTCACATTTTCTCATTTTTTACGCAGCTTTTATACAACAAAAATCTTTGCAGAACCTTTTTCAATTTAAAAATTGCTTTTAAAATTACAAATTCCATAATTATGGATTTTCTCAATAAATGTACCAAATGAAATTTTCACTATACCTACTTTGTTGATTATATAGAAAAATGAAATTGAAACTTACAGTGATCCAAATGAGTTGTCAATGATTGAAATTGTTGACTTGAAAGATTACTCTGCATTTTACCACCTAAGGAATAATATGTTAATGTATAAATTTCTGAAGGATAACTCAATGAAGATATTAACATTTCAAGCATAACGAATGAAAAATAAACATTCACTTATATGGATGAATCTTCATTGATTTAACGAAATGATTGCGAACAATGCTCCAAAAACAAATCCATTTCATAATGTAAACTACAATTCTCATTTTTGACAAAGTTATCAATTTTAATTACTAATAAATTTGAACTATCATTATTTTCATTTTTATTTTTATAAGGTACAAAATGGGAAGCTATAAATCGCCATAAGGTCAATATCAACTCAAATGGAAAATTCGTTGACGCAACCCTGACCTCAAACATTCTCTAAAACATCTGTAAAGCTAATTGCACAATCTCAATTTAACGGATCCACAGTGGGTACATTAAATTTAGTGTTTCGTCTCCATGCCATTGCAAAATTTTTGTTTACTTTTGGTCATTGTTTGTTAGCAGTAGGTAGTGCTTCTATCGGTAGGCAGCAAATACTTACCAATGCACCGATTACTTTCGGATGTTGTCGATCCATGTGTGATGGACAGCGGGGTGTCACTTTCATACCAATCAACATTCCTGACTTTCGATTGTGAGGCGACATCGCAGTTGTCGGAAACAGTTGGCCCTGTGGTTGCTACTATACATTCTTCTGTATTCGAGACTGGGACAGTTGGTCTAATGGCTAATGCTATGCATTCCGGTGTGTTCCTGTTTGAAATATGAAGAGTTGGCTCTATGGCTGATACTGTACTTTCCGGTGTGCTTGAGATTGGAATTGTTAGTCCTGTAGCTGATACTGTACACTCCGGTGTGTTCCTGCTTGAAATATGAAGAGTTGGCTCTATAGCTGGTGCTCTACTTTCCGGTATGTTCCAGAGTCCTGCAGTTGATACTGTACATTCCGGTGTGTTCCTGCTTGAAATATGAAGAGTTGGCTCTATAGCTGGTGCTCTACTTTCCGGTATGTTCCAGAGTCCTGCAGTTGATACTGTACATTCCGGTGTGTTCCTGTTTGAAGTATAAAGAGTTGGCTCTGTGGATGATACTGTACTTTCCGGTGTGTTCGAGATTGGAACAGTTGGCTTTGTAGCTAATACTGTACATTCCGCTCTATTTGATGTTTCTTGAGTCGAAATTACTGTTGCTTCAGTTGATTCTGCTGAAATGAGTGCAGTTGATTCAATTGGAGGTGGTGTTGTCCGATCTGGTTTTATGATAAACTTCATTGGAGCAATCATTACTTGCTGTTTCTCAGCTTCTTGCTGGACGCCTGTCATTATTTTGAAATCTTTCTCTCTGAAATTTATTCTTATACACAGTGTGCTTACTGTTTCATTTGATCTAAATAAGAAGATAAATACTCGAAATTTTATCTTTTCATCTGTCTGATCAATATTATTATTGGAAGGATCGAGATCAAAGTTAAAAGATGAATAACTCATTCTCAAAAACACAATACAAATCACACCTATCCGCAACTGTTGTTAGTGATGACATTAATGATACATTTCTTGTTTTCTTTCGTCTGCGTTTTTGATAGCTTCTCAACATTCGTACTTCTTCTCTTCGTCGTGCTGTGATTTTCCGGATTGATCGTACTGCCTTCCGGAATGTGGGTGTATGACCAACTTCTTCCTCATCATTTGGAACATGGTCGGCGTGTGTTTCTCTTTCATCCATCTCTTCTCGTTCACTACTCGACATTTCTCCCGACAGTTGCGCTCCTTGCTCCAAATTCTTACTTCCTGTCGGAACTGCGTCGGAAGTTTCATCTTTTGAATGTTATTTGTAAGCAGCGGTTTCCTGCAATACTATCATTTCTATATTTTCCAATCACATTTTATAAAGTATTCATATATGCTTTATTTTATATATATATATATATATATATATATATGCAAGAGAAGAGCATTCTCAGATTCAGCTCTGGGTTCAGGATCTGAGCGATAGATTGTTGGCTGGTATCGGGACAATTTTTGTTATTTATCCGCTTTTTTCCATATGTCGTATCACTTAATTCATGCCGTATACAGATAATATGTAAATATATTAAGGCATATAGTACAAATTACATTTTAAGTTCTCACAGTATCTTAAAGAGTAACCTTTTCAAATTGTTGTAGATGATGCCGTAATTTATTAACGGTGAGGCTTTTCCCTGTAATTCGTTGAATTTCTCTTTGTAGTTCCTCGATCGATTCAGTGGGTTCTTGAATATATTGTTCCAATAGCTGGGCA